ATACACATACATTTTCTTTTTTTATATATTTTTATAATTTATTATTTATTGTATTGTTTATTAAAATCAAAATGATTGAGATGAAATGTTGACCTTTTGCTATTTTTATGCACAGCTGAAAGAGCACAAATGTTTTATTTTTCTTGTGTTGACCATGAATCTAACAACATTCAGTGAGGTTTATGCTTACAACACCCTGTTTCCGGTTCACCCAACTTTCTCACCGTGTTGGCAAATTTGAGTTTTTCTTGTGTTAAACTTAAATCTAACTATTTATTAAGAACTAAGCTTACAGCAATATTATTAGATAGAAAGAAAGAAAACGATAAAGAGTAAGTCATTGTGTGATATTAACCTCCACAGGTCTCACGGATGGCCCCGGGGGACAAGCCTCCTCCCATTACCCAGGGTGCAGTGAGGGCGGGAGGGGGAGGAGCGGGGTTGGTGGCCCCGTCTTCACCTGCGGCCCCAGAAACACACTGGCAGAGCGATTGAATCAGACAGCTGTCAGTGAGAACAGTGCATGTCAGAGTGCAGGCGAGAGCCATAAAAGAGCACAAACGAGCCTCGTTACTGCCGGAACAGTGATTATCATAATGGCAACAATAAAGCCGACGGTCGTTACGCTGGTGGTGATGATGATGGTGATGATGATGATTAATGCTGGGAGATAAATGAGAACGATGTATCACACTCCTCCCTACAGCGGAGCAGCACTTTGAGTGTGTGTGAAATTAATTATGCACTGCATGTGTCTGCATGCACATACGTGTGATCATAAATCACGCGCCAGCACCAGCCTGTGTTTCTGTGAAAAAAATTCCACAAGGTGAATGTCATGAAACTTGTTAGGAACGTGTTCAGGTCATATTTAACCCTAAAATCAAAAGAAAAAGAAAGATATTCATATTTTTGGAACATTATTATCATGACTTTCAAAAACATTCCACCATTTCCTCATTTCTGTAATGCAGAAGAAAAAAAGTATAAATAATGTTATTTACATTACAGCATTTGTAGTATTTTTTTAAATGCCATTAAGTTGCTGATTTAAAAAAAAAAAAAAAATCATATATAACAGTACTTTTTAGATCATTAACATTCAAAATGACTCTATTACAGTAATGAGAATATAATGAGAATCATCACTGAGAACTATAAACAAACATATGCATTACAGTAATGAGATTTTGGGGGTAAAAATTAGTATTGCCTTTTTTCTTTTTTTTTTTTTTTTTTTTTTTTTTTAGCTCAACCATCACAGAATGGAACACACAGGATTGTGGGATATCAAAGGCACCAAAAGATACATCTATGCTGCCTTCAAAAATCAATCAGATGAAGGCATCTCGGGAGACAGGAAGTGAAGCTGACATTGGATTTGGACGTGCCTTAATGCCTTGCTACATTGGAATGCATCCTCCGAAGGCAGCATTTTTTTTTTTTTTTTTTTTTTTTTTTGTCAGTGCAATGCCATAGTATTAAAATAAGATTTAATTTTTTCACGTGTTATGTGATTTATTGATTTTTTTGAGAACCAGTAGTATTTGAACTTCACAAGTGACCAGTGTTATTTTAATATTATTTAGATTATATTTTTTATTAATAGTTTTGATTAGTTTTCATTTTATGTTTTAATTTTAATTTCATTTAAAGTTTAGTAATTTTGTTCTGTGGATTTTGACTTTTTTTTTATTAGTTTTCTAATTTATTCATTAGATTTGTTTGAGTCAGTATAGTTCCCTTTCATGGGAACTTCGAACTGCGTCCTCTAGGGGTCGCTATGGGGGAACGCCTCGTCGTGACCCGTGTCTGAAGCATACATTGAAAAAACACCAACAACACGTTGACCGGCGACAGCCATGACGTCACTACCGGTGCGACTATAGTATAAATAGGCGCCAGGAGTACACATCATTCTCTTCTTCGTCTTCATTGACTGTTTTGTTTGAAGCGTGCATTTCTGTGGTAAGAGCGATCTCTATTCATATCATTATGGCGAGCACTAGCTAAGAGATTAG